TCCGTACAAAGATTTTCTAGAGAAAAACTTTTCTATAGAAACGTTTCTGTATAAAGCTCATACATTGAAAGCATTTAATATAAAATATTTTTTATAAAAAGCTATCTATATAAAGCTTTTCTAGAGAAAACTGTCTGATTAATCAGTTTTTATAGAAGACTTTATGTATTGCAATTTCTATAGAAAGCTTTCTCTAGAAAATATTTTCCATAGAAAGCTTTTTTCTGCAGAAAACTTTCAGTATAATAGATTTCCTATAGAACACATTGGGTATAAAAGCTTTGAAAACTTGCTGTATAAAAGCTTTTGTATGGACAACTTTATTTGTGTTTATATGTACATATGCTTTTCTACAAAAAGCTTTCTTTATAAAATCTTTTCTACAGAAAGTTTTCTGTATAAAAGTTTTTCTACAAAAAGCTTTCTGTATAATTGCATTTCTATTGAAAGCTTTCTTCTTTCAATATTTTCTACAAACAAATTTGTTTATGACTGAATTCTCTGTAGAAGATTTTCTTTATAACAGTTCTTCTAAAATAAAGTTCTTCATTTTTAATACTGGCTTAATAAAGCTGCCTTTTCTGGGAAGTTAATCAATTTTTTTTATTATTATTTTTTTTTTTTGTAATTACACATTACATTTAAATTACAAATTCTAGCCATCATGCTTACAAAATTTTCTCACCTTTTTAAAACAATTTTCTTCATATTTTTTAAATCTTGAGGATGATGAGAAAATCTTAAATTTACTTTATAATTTCTTTGTGGAAAAACGAATTCTAAGAGCAAAAGTGGAAATTTTCTTTAAAGACAAAGCCAGGAGCTGCAAGTTTTATTCATTCTAAGTAATTACAATGCTTAAACTTAACACGCAATGGAATTTATGAATATTTTTCTGTTGTTGTTATGTTATTTCACTTAAAATGTGTTATTGTAAATTGCTCAGCAAGTTTAATTGTATAATTAATAAGATTCTTTCGTTTAAAAAAAGATCACTGAACTTTTAAAGTTATATGAGAAAAAGAGTGCTAAAGTGTGTAAAAAATATTTAGATAATTTTGTTGTTTGAGAAAATTCAATGAAATGTGGAAAGTAATAAATTTAATTGAGTTGTCCTAGGAGGGGGAATGTTGAAGAAACTTCTAACTCAAATAGGAAAGGGGCTTTGAGATATAGGGATGTTGCCTAAGAGAAATATTTAGAATTTTTCTATAGAAAATATAAGTTTTTCTAAAGGAAATTTTTAATATAACAGTTTTTTTTTTTTTTATAATTAAGCGTTTCTATAGAAAACTTTCTGCTGAAAGCTTTTCTATAGAAAGCTTTCACTGTGAAGACTTTCTCCAGAAAAACTGTTATACGGAAGCTTTATATAGTAAAGCTTTTATACAAAAAGCTTTCCATGGAAAAGTTTTAATAAAAAAGCTTTTATACTGAAAGCTTTCTACAGAAAAGATTTTATACCGAAATCTTTTTACAGAAAAGCATTTATACGGAAAGCTTTATGCATAAAAACTTTTCTATATAATGTTTTTCCATATAAAGCTTTCTATATAAAAACATTTCTAAAAAGATGTTCAAAAAGCTTTAAAAGCTTTTCTACAGAAAATGCTTTATACCGAAATTTACTTTAGAAAAACTGTTATACACAATATTTCATTGAGAACAATTGTGAGTAATAACTGTTATACATAAAATTTTGTTCAGGAAAATCTCTTATACTAGAAGTTTTTCTTAGAAAAAAAAACTGTGAAACACAAAGTTTTGTTTAAGAGAAACTGTTACACTGTGGGTTTTTTCAGGAAAAACTGTTATACGCAAAGCAAAAACTTTTTTCTGGAGGAAAAACTTTGATACTTAAGATTTTTTTAGGAATAACTGTTATACGCAACGTTTTGGTTAGATAAAACTGTTATACTGAAAGTTTTCTTTGAGAAAATTGTTGAACGAAAAGTTTTCTTCATCAACAGCTGTTATAAACTAAGTTTTCTACTGGAAAAACTGTTATACTGAATGTTTTCTTAAGTAATAACTGCTATACTAAAACATTTCTATAGGAAAAACGATTTTATTGAACATTTTCTTTAGAGAAACCTGATATATACAGAATTTGTTTAGGAAAAACTGTTATACTAGAAAATGACTTTAGTAATAAGTGTTATACTCAAATTTTATCTTTAGAAAAAACGGTGTCACTGAATGTTTTTTATAGTAAAACTGTTATACCGAAAGTTTCTTTAAGAAAGACTGTTATACGCAATGTTTTAATGATGAAAAACTGTTATACTGAACTTTTTACTTATAAAAAGCTACTATACGTAGAGTTTTCTGTTGGAAAAACTGTCATACTTAGAGTTTTCATTAGGGAAAAAACTGTTATACTGAAAATTTTCTTTATAAAAACAGAAAAACTGTGATACATAAAATTTCTTTAAGAAAAAATGTTATACACATAGAAAGACTGTTATACTAAAGACTTTTTGCGAGAAATCTGTTATACTGAAAGTTTTCTAAAGGAAAAAAAACTGTTATACTGAGTGTATTCTAAAGGAAAAACTGTTATATTGAAAGTTTTCTGTATGAAAAAATGTTATACTAAACGTTTTGTGTAGGGAAAACTGTTATACTGAAAGTTTTCTTTAGAAAAAAACTGTTATTTCTAATGATGTATTTAAAAAAAAAAACTGTTATACAGAATGTTGTTTAGTTATACTAAAAGTTTTTTTTTGGGAAAAAACTGTTATACTGAAAAATTTTCTTTATAAAAACAGTTATACTGCAATATTTCAGTAATTTTCTTAAGAAAAACTGTTATACAGAAATATTTCTTCAAGACAAATTGTTATACACATAGAAAGACTGTTATACTTATAGTTTTTGGCAGGTATACTGAACGTTTTCTAAAGCAAAAACTGTTATACTGATTGAATTCTAAAGGAAAAACTGTTATATTGAAAGTTTTCTATTGTAAAAACTATTATACTAAAAGTTTTGTTTCGAGAAAACTGTTATACTGAAAGTTTTTTTTAGAAATATCTCTTATTCCCAATGATATATTTAAGAAAACGGTTGTACAGAAAGGATAAAAAACTGTTATATTCGTCTTTTCTACTAGTAAAACTGTTATATTCAAAACCGATTTCTATTCCATGTCTGTCTTTAAATGGATTTTCTTGTAGGTTTTGTTAGTTGTTCTTCACTATCATCTGGTTTGTTTACACTACCTTCTCATACATTCCTCTTAGCGCTTCTTTTATTGAACATATTGATGTAGTAAATTTACCAGGAACATTATTAATTAACCTAAATTTTTGTCTATTGATTCTAGTGTCATTTTTATTTCTTACGTTAATATGAACATTAAAATATGTACTAATTTGTCCTTCTGTCCCCCATTCTTTAAATGTGCACTTTAGTTGTCCAACAATTTTATGAATCCGAAGTAAATAATGAATATGTCATTAGAGGCAATGCAGCGGTATTAAAATGTTCTATACCCTCATTTGTGGCGGATTTTGTACAAGTTATATCGTGGCAAGATGAAAGTGGTGAATTGTATGCCACATTAGATGAACAAAAGACAACGGGTATATGTGGAGATTTTTTTGTTTAAAATTCATTTTTTTTTTTGCTTTAGATGATAGTATGAAAACATAAAGAAAAACCATTATCCTTTATTTTCCCCTTAAAACCTATTTTTGACCTAAATTTTTTCATGATTTCTTTTTTGTTTTGCTGTTTAAACATCATACATTCTACCAGTGGTTAATCAGTATTATGAAGCAGAAGTGGTTTCGGAGTATGTTATCAAGGGTAATACGGCCGTTTTAAAATGTACCATACCCTCGTTTGTAGCCGATTTCGTTAAGGTTGAGGCCTGGTTAGCTAGTGAGGGTACCGAGTATTTACCCTCGGAAGATTTTGGTTAGATTTTTTGTCAAACTTTGTTTTTAGAATTTAAGAGTGTTAATGGAAGTGTTTAACATTTTTGAAAACATCCCTTTAAGTCCTAAATCTTTCCCGTTTTTGTATATAAATATTTAAATATTTTTATTTGTATGATATTTTCCCTTTATTTAGTTGTTAATCAATATTATGGTGCCGATATTTTAATGGAGTATGTGATCAAGGGTAATGCAGCCGTTTTGAAATGTTCTATACCTTCGTTTGTGGCCGATTTTGTGCGCGTTGAATCTTGGATAGATGAAGAGGGCAATGAATTGAGACATTCCGATAATTATGGTGGGAGTTTGAGAGGAATTTTCTCTAGTTCTTTTAAACCATTTTTTTTTTTGGAATATGGTGTTATGAAGGGGGATTTCAGAAATCTATTCAAAATTATTTCCTTTAAACCCTTTTAACTTTATTTTCTTTTCTATTACTTTAATACTTTATAATTTAACTATTTTTAAGTTTTAAAAAGAGTTTTGCTAACTATAGGGCCTTTATTCCAACTAGTTACAAATAAGGGGTAAAATTTTACCCGTTTTGTAAATTTCTTAATGGACCTTGCAATGTTTTAACTTGATTTATTTAGAAAATAAAATTCTATATAAAAATGTTTCAAATTTGAAATTTATTCCTTTTTCTTAATATCTAAGTACTTTTTTTCGCCCTTAACTACCAAATTAGTACTTTTTTTCAAAATCCCCTAAAGTGTTTTAATAATCTTCCTTTGTCGAATATATTTTAGTGGTCAATCAATTCTATGAAGCTGAAATAATGACCGAATATGTTATTAAGGGCAATGCTGCCGTTTTGAAATGTTCCATACCCTCGTTTGTGGCCGATTTTGTGCGCGTTGAGTCCTGGATCGATGAAGAGGGCAATGTTTTGACTTTTTCCGATAACTACGGTTGGCTGGCTTAAAACTTTTTTAACATAAACATTAGTAAATTAGTTTCAACACCTCCTAAATCCTTTAGTTCCTTTCATCTTTATCATTTTACAAAATTTTTAATTTTTTTTATAAAATTTTTATTTTACTTCAAAACTTTTAGTCGTTTCCCAATTCTATATAACCGAGGCCGAAAATGAATATGTCATCAAAGGCAATGCTGCGGTCTTAAAGTGTAAAATACCCTCATTTGTAGCCGATTTTGTACAAATCGAAGCCTGGATCGATGAGGAAGGTGTAGAGTTATGGCGTAATAATTCTACTCAGGCTTATGGTATTAAATGTTTACAAAATCGTTTTGTTAGCTTTGTTCCAATTCCTTAATATCCCTTTCAATTTTAATCCCTGATTATTTTTCTTATTTTCTTAATTATTTTCAAAATCTTTTTCGCAATTCTAGTCGTTATACAATCTTATGAATCGGAAGCTGATAATGAATATGTTATACGCGGCAATTCAGTGGTTATGAAATGTGAAATACCCTCTTATGTGGCCGATTTTGTATTTGTTGATTTATGGATGGATTCGGAGGGACAAAATTATTATCCCAATAGTGAAGAGATCGGTTAGAATAATTAACTGAATCAATTAATAAGTGATTTCTTAAGTAGTTAATGTTTTTGTTGGAACCTTTTGCTGTTTGGAATGAAAAGCTTTACAGACGGGATAAAACCAGTTTAATCAAACTTTGATCCTCTAGAAAAGTTGATAAAATTTTGATCAAATTTCTTATAGAATAATTGGTCAAACTTTGATCTGTATTCCATACAAAAGTTGACTAAACTTGGATCTAGTTTTTTATAGAAAAGTTGATCAAACTTGGATCAAGTTTTCTATGGAAAAGTTCATCAAACATGGATAAAGTTTTCTTTAGAAAAGTTGATCCAACTTGGATCAAGTTTTCTATAGAAAAGTTGATCAAACTTGGATCAAGTTTTCTATAGAAAAGTTGATCCAACTTGGATCAAGTTTTCTTTAGAAAAGTTGATCATACTTATATCAAGTTTTCTTTAGAAAAGTTAATCCAACTTGGATCAAGTTTTCTTTAGAAAAGTTAATCCAACTTGGATAAAGTTTTCTTTAGAAAAGTTAATCCAACTTGGATCAAGTTTTCTATAGAAAAGTTAATCCAACTTGGATCAAGTTTTCTATTGAAAAGTTAATCCAACTTGGATCAAGTTTTCTATAGAAAAGTTAATCCAACTTGGATCAAGTTTTCTATTGAAAAGTTAATCCAACTTGGATTAAGTTTTCTATAGAAAAGTTAATCCAACTTGGATCAAGTTTTCTATAGAAAAGTTAATTCAACTTGGATCAAGTTTTCTTTAGAAAAGTTAATTTAACTTGGATCAAGTTTTCTTTAGAAATATTAATCCATCTTGGATCAAGTTTTCTCTAGTAAAGTTGATTAACTTAAATCAATTTTTTTTAGGAATGTTTGATGAAACATGGATCAAGTTTTCTTTAGAAAAGTTGATTAAACATGAATCAAGTTAATCGAACTTAGATCAAGTTTTCTTTAGAAAAGTTCATCAAACTTTGTTAGACTTTTTTTAAGAAAACATACACCTTTAGTTCCTGAAAAGTACTTTTTTCCCGTTGTTGCTTCAAAAATGTCCCTCTTTCTTAAAAAAAACCCTTTAGTTATCCTTTAAGTCCTTAGTTTTTTTTAACTTTATTTCTTTAATTTTGATCCCATCAGTTGTTCATCAATTCTATCAAACCCGGGTCATAGACGAGTTCGTTTTAAGAGGCAATTCGGCCACTTTAAAATGTTTAGTTCCTTCATTTGTGGCTGATTTTATAATGATTGAATCGTGGGTAGATGAAGAGGGCAAGGAAATATTTAGATCACAAAGCAATGAAGAGATGGGTAAAGGATATTATCTGAAGTTAAACATAATATTAAGAATTTATTATAAAATCCTTAAAAAATCCTTTCAAAAAAAAAAATCCTTAAGAGGTTTCCTTTAGTTGCTAAAAGTAATAAGTTTTATTTATTTTTTTCTTACAGTTGTTAAGCAATTTTTTCGAATCTCAGGTCTATGATGAATATGTTATTAAAGGCAATGCAGCCATATTTAAATGTCAGACACCCTCTTTTGTGGCCGATCATTTAGAAATTACCGATTGGTTAGATACCGAGGGTGGTGTTTATACCAAAAATGAAACTGGTATTTGGGGTTTTATTCGATTTATTCTAATTTATTATGGTAGTGGTATACATTAAGTAGCCATAATGAAGGGAGATTTTTCTTTATCATTTTCATTAATTCCTTTTTTTTCTTTTAAATCCTACTTTCTTCTATTATTATTTATTTCTTTGTCTCTTATTTGTATAAAATTCCAGTTGTACCCCAGTCCTATACAGTCAATGTTATGGATGAGGCTGTTTTGCGTGGCAATAGTGCCATTTTAAAATGTCATATTCCCTCTTTTGTGGCCGATTTTATACAAGTTGCCTCTTGGCTAGAAGATGAGGAGAGAGAAATTTTTGCCTCTCAAGGCCAGGATCTACAAAGTGGTAAAAATTGCAAACATCTTGTTCTATACTATACAGTTAAAGCTTTCCCTTAATGATCCCTTTTTATATTCCCTCAAATTTCAGAATGTTTTCTTCAAAAATATACAAATTTTCTTTATAAGTTTTCTCTTAATTGAGGTCGTTAATTTCGGAATTGGTTGCTTAGGTTTTCCTATAGCTTTGCTAGGTTTCTTAGGTTAAAGTTTCATTTATTTATTTTTTTATTTTTTCATTCAGTTATATTTTATGTTTTCTTCATTTTTTTTACTTCCTTTCCTTAAAAAAATCCCATGATCCTCTTACATCCATAAGCCATTCCCGGCTTTCCTTAATCCTTTATAAATCCCCCTTCATTTTAAAGTAGTTTGTAGTGTAGTTTGGTTTTAATAAAAACTTTTTTAAATGTTTCTTTAGAAATGCTCACGTTTTTAAAAGAAATTTTTTAAAATTTCCTTTAATTTAAAGGATTTTGTAAAAAAAAATATTTAAAAAAGTTTTATATTTTGTATATAAAATTTGTATAAAATTTTAAATAACTTAAAAATGCTTTAATATTTATAAAGAACATTTTATTAATTAGTTAAACTTTGATCACTTTTTATCAGTCAAATTTTATATATTTCCTTAAAAACGTTAATAAAACTTAAGTCAAGTTTTCGTTAGAAAAAAATATAGACGAAGTTATAGTCCAGACTACAGACTATACACTATACACCAAACTATAGAGTAGACTAAAGACTAGACTATAGACTAGACTAGACTAGACTATAGACTAGACTATAGACTAGACTATAGGACTAGACTCTAGACTAGACTATAGACTAGACTATAGACTAGACTATAGACTAGACTATAGGACTAGACTATAGACTAGACTATAGACTAGCCTATAGACTAGACTATAGACTAGACTATTAGACTAGACTATAGGACTAGACTATAGACTAGACTATAGACTAGACTATAGACTAGACTATAGACTAGACTATAGACTAGACTATAGACTAGACTATATACTAGACATAGACTAGGACTACTAGACTATAGACTGAGACTATAGACTAGACTAGACTATAGACTGGACTATAACACTATAGACAAGACTATAGACCTACACTATAGACTAGACTTTAGACTAACTATAGACCAGACTATAGACTAGCCTATAGACTAGACCTAGACGATAGACTAGCTATAGACTAGACTATAGACTCGGACTATAGACTAGACTATAGACTAGACTATAGACCTAGACTATAGACTAGACTATAGACTAGACTATAGACTAGACTATAGACTAGACTATAGACTAGACTATAGACTAGACTACAGACTAGACTATAGACTAGACTATAGACTAGACTATAGACTGGACTAGACTATGGACTAGACTATAGACTAGACTATAGACTAGACTATAGACTAGACTATAGACTAGACTATAGACTAGACTATAGACTAGACTAGACTATGGACTAGACTATAGACTGGACTATAGACTAGACTAGACTATAGACTGGACTACACTATAGACAAGACTATAGACTACACTATAGACTAGACTTTAGACTAGACTATAGACCAGACTATAGACTAGCCTATAGACTAGACTATAGACCGGACTATAGACTAGACTATAGACCGGACTATAGGCTAGACTATAGACTAGACTATAGACTAGACTATAGACTAGACTATAGACTAGACTATAGACTAGACTATAGACTAGACTATAGACTAGACTATAGACTAGACTATAGACTAGACTATAGACTAGACTATAGAATTCACTATAGACTAGACTATAGACTACACTATAGACTAGACTATAGACTACACTATAGACTAGACTATAGACTAGACTAAAGACTAGACTATAGAATTCACTATAGACTAGACTATAGACTGGACTATAGACTAGATTATAGAATAGACTATCTACTAGACTAGGCTATAAACTAGACTATAGAGTTGGCTATATACTGGACAATAGACAAGTCTACATACATGACTATAGACTAATCTACATACAAGATTATAGACTAGTCTACATACAAGACTAAAGACTAGTCTACAGTCAAGATTATAGACTAGACTACATACTAGACTATAGAGTATACTAGACTATATTCTAGACTATAGACTGGACTTTAGACTAGATTATAGAACTATAGAGACTACAGAACTATAGAGAGAATACTGGACAATAGGCTAGTCTACAGACAAGACTATAGACAAGTCTACATACAAGATCATAGACTAGTCTACATACAAGACTATAGACAAGTCTACAGACAAGATTATAGACTGGACTAGACAATATACAATAGACTAGACTACAGACTAGACAATATACTATGGACTAGACCATGGATTGGACTTAGACTGAGCTGATATAGAATTGAACTGAATTAGAACTGAACTAGAACGAACTACAACTGAACTAGAACTGAGCTTAAACCAACCTAGAACTAAACTAGAACGGACCTAGAACAGAACTAGAACTGAACTGAACTGAACTAGAACTGAACTAGAACTGCACTAGAACTGAACTAGGACTGAACTAGAACTGAACTAGAACTGAACTAGAACTGAACTAGAACTGAACTAGAACTGAACTAGAACTGAACTAGAACTGAACTAGAACTGAACTAGAACTGAACTAGAACTGAACTAGAACTGAACTAAAACTGAACTAGAACTGAACTAGAACTGAACTAGAACTGAACTAGAACTGAACTAGAACTGAACTAAACTGAACTAAAACTGAACTAGAACTGAACTAGAACTGAACTAGAACTGAACTAGAACTGAACTAGAACTGAACTAGACTGAACTAGAACTGAACTAGAACTGAACTAGAACTGAACTAGAACTGAACTAGAACTGAACTAGAACTGAACTACAACTGAACTAGAACTGAACTAGAACTGAACTAGAACTGAACTAGAACTGAACTAGAACTGAACTAGAACTGAACTAGAACTGAACTAGAACTGAACTAGAACTGAACTAGAACTGAACTAGAACTAGACTGAACTAGAACTGAACTAGAACTGATCTAAAACTGAACTAGAACTGAACTAAAACTGAACTATAACTGAGCTTAAACTAACCTAGAACTGAACTAGAACTGATATAGAACTGAACTAGAACTGAACTAGAACTGTACTAGAACTGAACTAGAACTGAACTAGAACTGAACTAGAACTGAACTAGAACTGAACTAGAACTGAACTAGAACTGAACTAGAACTGAACTAGAACTGAACTAGAACTAGAATTGAACTAGAATTGAACTAGAACTGAACTAGAACTAAACTAGAACTGAACTGGAGTTGTACTAGATCTAACTATACTGTAGACTACAGACTAGACGATAGAATAACGTAAAGATTAAGAAGACTATAGATGAGACTTTAGACTAGTCTAATGACAAGTCTCTATGATAGACTATATACTAGACCAAACACTGGTGTATAATCCAGATTATAAATTAATATATAGTCCAGTCTATACACACGACAATAGTCTAGACTATAAAGAAGTCTATAGATCAGACTACAGACTATAGGCAAGGCTATAAATTTGATTTTAATCAAAACTATAGACGAGACTATAGTCCACATGAAACATTGATCATGTATTCTTTAGAAAAGTTAAACTTTGATCTACTTTGATCATTAACATTATTGATTGAGTTGTATTTAAGTATAAGTGTTGTAAAATGTAAATATTAATAAATTTTATAAAAAATATTAAGGCATTTTTATTATAAAATTACTGCTTGCTATTTAGTTATTTGTAAATATTTAGAAATTTTAAGGATTTTTTGCGAAAAGACTAAATTAAACTAAAACTTTTGTAAATAAAGCTTGTTTTAAACGAAAAAAATCCTTAAAATAAAAAAAAATCTGCTGAAATCTCAAGAAATGAGACTAACATTTTAAATTAATATATTATTGAATTTGGTGTAGATTTTAGTGGATTTTTTTATTGTAAATATGTATGTAGTTTTTATAAATATGTATAATTAACCCCTGCATGTTGGCTATGAGTATTTTACTAATCTTTAACAAAAAACACTATTAAAAACTATTAAAATGCATCAAAATTTTAAACATAAAATTTTAATAAATTATAAAAATTAAAATTCAATATAAATAATAAATATTTGTAAATATTTTAATACAAATTGTAAATAAAATACTATTTCGAAAATGTTTACTAAAAACTTTTAGTGTTTTTTGTTAAAATTTCAAAAAATTAAGGAATTTCTATGAAAGTTTCATTTTAATTTGGAAATTGTTTTAAAACAAATAAATTTTTATTTATTTTTTTAACTATTAAGAAATTCCTTAATTTTCTTTAAAGGTGTTAGATTTTTTTCTTTAATTTTTGTTAAAAATATTATAAATTTTAAAGTTTTTTATTAATATTTAAAATTTTTTTCTCTTACCTTTTTTCTCCACAAATCAATTTGTTCACTCAATAAAGATGGCAAATATTTGGTTTTACCTTCGGGTGAATTACATATACGCGAAGTTGGTCCCGAAGATGGTTATAAATCATATCAGTGCCGCACTAAACATAGATTAACCGGTGAAACTAGATTAAGTGCTACCAAGGGACGTTTGGTTATTACAGGTAAGTTGAATTTGTCCTCAAAGGGAGACATTTTTTCTTTAAATATTTTTACTGTAAAAAAAAAGGAAAAATATTCAATATTAATAAAGAAGAAGAAGAAAAAAATGTAATAAATTGCAAAACAAATGTAAAATTAAGAAAAATATTTAACAAATTTGAAGAAATATTTGAATATTTTTCCTAAAATCATTAAAAAACCAATTATATCTTAGACTATAGTCTAAACACGTGACTATAATCCAGACTATAGACTAAGCAAACTACTATAGTCTGGACTATTTTATGACTTACCCATTTCATTATTGCCTTTTTTACTGGTCCTTTTATATTTCTTTTTCATAATTAACATTAGAACAATTTCCCCTGTTCTCCACTATTACTCTTTTTATTACTTTTCATTTACTTATACTAAAAACAACAACCACACACATTGCTTAAGCATATTTTTTTATTCCTTTGGCTTGGGAATTTTTTTTCTTCAACTTCTTTGGTAATTTTCACTTATTTTATTTATGTTTTCTAACAACATTTTTATATAAATTTATTAATAAACATTTAATTTATATTTTTATATAAACATATTTTTAATTTATTCACTTTAACCCGATTTATTAACGTTTAAACTGGACATTGAATGAAATAACCCGCAAACTGTAGCAAATAATAAGAATGACTGGCAATAAACTGTCAAAGTGATGACTTACTACCTAACATTGTTGTTGTTATTACTGTTTTGTTAATTTGCTTATTATGATGATGCTGATGATGTTTAGTGTGAATATGTTTGTGCATGTTTTTCTGTTGAATGGGCAGAGATGGGAGAAAGAGTTTATTAAAGAAACTTAAAGAAAACAATAACAAGCATAACAAAAACAAAAATAAACACCTGTTAGTTACAGCAATACTATTCTAGACTTTTTCATAACAATTTGTAAATATTACTAAAAAATTGTATTAAAATTAAACATATTGATAATAATTTTAGATGAATATATTAATAAATATTGTTTAAATAGTTTTATATAAATATTTTAACGAAATATAATACCTAAATTAGTGAAAATTGTTAGGCAAGTTGGTGGAAAGAATTTCGCAAACTTTTTAAAAAGCAGAGTCCGGCTGAAGTTTCAACAAGACAAGACTTAACAAGTCACTTTCTAAAGAAAACAAGACTCTTTTCTAAAGATAAATGCCTTTACAGGACACTTTTCTAAAGAAAATACGTCTTTAAAAGGCACTTTTCTTAAGAAAACAATCTTTACAAGATACTTTTCGGAAGAAAACTGTCTTTACAAGACATTTTTCTAAAGAAAACTGTCTTTACAAGACATTTTTCTAAAGAAAACTGCATTACAAGACACTTTCTAAATGAAAACTGTCTTTAAAAGGCACTTTCTAAAGTAAAACTCCATTTACAAGACTCTCTTCTAAATAAAACTGTTTTTACAAGACACTTTCTAAAAGAAAACTGTATTTATAAGACTCTCTTCCAAATAAAATTGTTATTACGAGATACTTTTCTAAAGAAAACTGTCTTGTAAGGACAAAAAAAATGTCTTAACAAAACATTTTTCTAAAGAAGACTGTCCTTACAAAACATTTTTCTAAAGAAAATTGTCCTTACAAGCTACTTTTCTAAAGAAAACTGTCTTAACAAGACACTATCTAAAGAAAACTGTCTTTACAAACAATTTCTAAAGAAAACTGTCTTTATAATGAACTTTTGTAAAGATACTGTCTTTATAAGACACTTTTCTAAAGAAAACTGCCTTCACATGACACTTTCTAAAGAAACAGTATTTACAAGACACTTTTTCTAAAGAAAACTGTCTTTATAAAACTCTTTTCTAAAGAAAAATGTCTTTATAAGGCTATTTTCTAAAGAAAACTGTCTTTGCAATACGCTTTTCTAAAGAAAACTCTCTTTACTTGAAACTTTTCTAAAGAAAAACTATCTTTACAAGACATTTTTCTAAAGAAATCTGAAGAATCTTATAGAAAAACTGTCTTACAAGATACTTATCTAAAGAAAACTGTCTTTACAATACACTTTTCTAAAGAAAACTGTCTTTATAAAACTCTTTTCTAAAGAAAACTGTCTTTGCAATACGCTTTTCTAAAGAAAACTCTCTTTACTTGAAACTTTTCTAAAGAAAACTATCTTTACAAGACATTTTTCTAAAGAAATCTGACTTTATAAAACTCTTTTCTAAAGAAAACTATCTTTATAAGGCTATTTTCTAAAGAAAATAGTACGTTTAGAATATATTTTTATAGAGAAAACTGTCTCTACAAGACACTTTTCTTAAGAAAACTGTCTTTACAAAACGCTTTTCTAAAGAAAGCTGCTTTAGAACACACTTTTCACTTTTATTTGTTATTTTTCTTTAAAATTTGTATATAAAACTATTTGAACAATATTTATTAATATATTTATAAAAAAATATTATCAATTTGTTTAATGTTTACACTTATCTATTATATAAAATTCTAACGTTACTGACTGACTGACTGACTGACTGACTGATTCATCATCGCACAGCCTAAACGGTTGAAGCTAAAGAGCTGAAATTTGGACAGGAGGTTGGTCTCCCCCAAATAGATCCACTAAGACGGGATTTTTGGAAATTCGAATGTTTAGGGGGTAAAAAAGGGTAAAAACGGGTAAATTCGGTAACCTTATATCTCCTAAACTAGAAAAGATACAAAAACAGTTTAAAGCTTATCGCCGTTCATTTAAAAAATAAACGGACAGGTGTCTGGTACTTTTTTAAAATTCGGCCCCTTTAGGGAATAAACGGGTAAAAACTGTATTTTGGTACTTTTTTCGCACCCCATGTATCTTTTAAACCAGTGCACATTCAAAAATATTTTTGACTCCTTCATAACTTAACGAAAAAATAAAAATATGAATTTAGTACTTTTTGGATATTCGGACGTTTAAGGGGTTAAAATTGTACCTATTTTTGGTACTTTTTTCATAAAACATTGTATTTTGGTACTTTTTTCGCACCCCATGTATCTTTTAAACCAGTGCACATTCAAAAAATATTTTTGACTCCTTCATAACTTAACGAAAAAATAAAAATATGAATTTAGTACTTTTTGGATATTCGGACGTTTAAGGGGTTAAAATTGTACCTATTTTTGGTACTTTTTTCATAAAACATTGTTTTTGGTTTATTAACTTATACATATGAATACATAATAACGGGCTCCCACTACGATGTTGCAACTTTTTGGAATAGAATTTTTA